GGAAGTAGCTAGAATAAAGGCCCTTTGAGAGTTAGCTGGAGTCATTGTTACTAAAATGACTTTTGTTTTCATTTTTAAAAGTTAGTATACAGAGTAATTGGTTTCAATATGATGTTTTCATATCATGATTTGCTTTTATAGACTTTTAGTATTTAAGATTAAACTTTAAATTTGAGCAAGATTATTATAGATTTCTTCCATGCTATAGATGTTTGGGTTGTATATAAAATGTGAAGTCTGTGGACTTTGATTTTTTTTCAGTGCTTGGAACTAGATCCAGTACTTTGCAAGTATTCCTACACTGAGCAGGGTCCATTCAAATTACCCAGGGAATGGGTGCATTCACCATCCAGGCAGGCCTTGAACCTGCTGTTTCCCTGATTCTGTAAGTGGTAGCTGGGATTACACATTTGCACCAGCAAGCAAGGCAAATCTTTAGATGTTAAAGAGGTAAATGCTGTGAGCCCTGTGTATATAAAATGTCTGATAATAAAAGGAAGCCTATATTCAAACTAGCAGAGGTCTTAGAAAGGATCTGCCTAAGCCTCTTTATGTGAGGCATGCTCATGATCAGTTGTTTGCCAAATGGTGTGGGTTGTGTCTTTGATAGCAGTATTTCTCAGTCCTATGATTTTTGCTGTAAGTATATGAGTTATCTATTGCAAAGTTCAGAGAAGGCTCTTAAGAAAGCCAGGCTGTCCATGTTTGTGTCACCTTTACACCTACCTTAAAATATGAGTCATAAGTCTTAGATTTTTCTCCCCACTCCTTGTGCCTAGATGAAGTGCTGCTGTTTTCCCCCATCCTGAGTTGGGTGTAGCTTTCTCCCTAGGACCAATGCTCTTAGGATTTCTTGCATACCAACATTGTGAACCCTGTTGATCTTTTAAACTTTAGCAATTTCTAAGTCTCTACACCTTATTGTTTCAGATTTCTCTGAACCTGTATTTGTTTTTCTGCCTGAATTTTTCTCTCTCCTCCCCCCCACTACTTCCTCCAGGAAGATGCCTTCTTGAATACCTTAGCAAAGCACCCATTATCCCTGTCCCCATCTGACTGAATGTTTCACGATACCTCTATTAAACTGTATCACAGTGAATTGCTTGTGTGTACTAAAGGATATTGAGCTAAGAAAGACTTAATGAGCCTTTCCCATTAAGCTCCTGTGAACTTCTAAAATTCAGATTACTTTTTATAATGTATTAAAACTTGGTTTACAGTTAATGTCTTTATAGTGTGTTTCTAAGTATGTCTGTTTAATTACAAAAATAAAATGGTCTTGAAAAAGATGTGTCTACTATAGCAGACTGAGTATAGACATGAACACCAGAATCCCTAAAGCCAGTTCTCAGCTTTGCTATTTACTAGCTGTTTAACCTTGAGCAAATTACTGTAACATTTTTGTTCCACAGAATCCTGGTGTCTAGAATAGGGGTAATAAAAATACCCAGGCCATGATATTAATGTGAATGTTGAAGTCTATTCAAATCAAATACACGAAACAGTATCTGGTGTACTATAAAAGCTTAGAAAAATATTTTAGATCATTATTATTGAAGTAATTTGAAATATAGAATTTCACAAGGACATAGCTTTTATCTCATGTAGTCATTTTTTAAATTTTTATTTGTGAAACAGTTTTATTATATATCTCAGGCTGGCTTCAGATTCACTCTGTAGCTTTACACTCATTATCCTTGCCTTCCAAGTGCTAGATTACAGGCAGGATCATAATTTCAAATGTCCAGGGCTGGCTGAGCATGTTGCTCAGTAGCAGAGCTGTGCTAGGTATGCATGAAAACTGGGTTCAGCGTCGAGCTCCAAGGTAGCAAAAGAACGAAACTAGTGGATGTGTTTTCCACCATTGTGCACTGTGCATTTAAGAAACAGAGCAGTTTGCTCATCTCCCAAGCTTCCCTGTGCCTCCTGTCAGTACTCAGACTGTCTCTTCTCTCTAGCCTTTGCCAACCTTCCCAGAATGTCCCCTAGAGGAAACGTCTTTTGCACCTGGCATCTTTAATTCAGCACAGTTCATTTGAGAGTAACTCAGGATGCCTGTATTAGGCATATATCTTCATTGAGTACTAATTCAGTCTTTGCTCACCCTCTACTGAGAGGTTAGTTCTAGTTTTGTGCTGTTGTGAGAAATGGTGCTATAAAGGATTATATAGAACTTTTTGTGTGAAGATAGTATTTTATTTGTACTGGGCAGTCAGTGGATTTACTAGTGTATGTGGTGAGTATAAACGTAGCATTTGTAAAACTGCCAAGCTGTTTCCCAGAGCTCTGTACAATTTTGTGTTTCCACCAGCAAATGTGTGTTAGTTCAGATTGCTGTACATCTGTGTCAGCCCTTGACTTTTTCTTATTTTTTCCAGTATTTGCCTACTCCAAATAAGTATGTAGCTATTCGTAACCTAATTGACCTCCAAATTAGGGTACAGAAAAAGACTATGAAATTCAGTCAGAGAAGGGCACACAGGAAGAAACAAGATCACCAGATGGAGGAGGGTAGGGATTGTGCTTTGCATGTAAGAGGCCCTGAATTCCATTCCTAGATGTGTGAGACCTGTAGTGATATATTATTTATGATTTATTAAAGATTGACTGAGGATTCAGAAAGCTAAGTCAGCCCAGGCCTTAGAAGACAGGTACACACCTTTAATTCCAGCAGCCAGGAGCTAGCAGGTGGTGGTACACACCTTTAGTCCTAGGACTCAGGATTAGGAGATAGACTATCTCTGTGAGTTCAAGGTCACCCAGATCTATGCAAGAGTGAATAAGACTAAAAGAGAGTCATAGCTCACACCTTTAATCCCAACCTTAGGGAGGTATATAAGCCAGAAGCAGGGTCTCACAGAGGCATTCGGTCTCCATCCATACCGAAGTAGGGAATATTTATTCTCTAGCCACAGAGAAGAAAGGCAGCGGATTGAGACTTGGTGAAGAGCTCATGTGTGGATCAGCTCTTTCAGCCTGAAGTAAAGGTAAGAGTTAGTGGCCAGCTGCTTTGCTTTTCTGATCATCAGCTTGACGTTTGAACCCCAAGATCAGTCTCTGGGTCATTTATTTATTTGTGTTACAGAGACCTTTGATGATGACTAGCCCTGTGGCTGGCACACAGTAGGGATTTCTTTATATGCTTATTGTTTCATTAAAAATGAATGAATGTTCAAGTCATTTTAGATTAGGTTGAATCTATAGAATCCCATTGCAGTCATGTGCTAGATCCCTTTATATAAGTTTATCTTTGTTAAAAGTACATGGTTAAAGTTGATGTTGGTCTAATTCTCAGTTGCATAGCAGGAGAAAGGTGGCATGATACAGTGCAAGGTGCACCAGGAAGGATTGCATGCTTTGGGTTGAATTAGGAAAACCCTTTTAGCCTCCATAGGACTCAGATTCACTGCTATGCAGTGGAAAGAGTTCATCTGATGATAGCTAGGCCATTTAATGATATATATTCCCTTATAATCACATCAAATCAGAAATTGATAAGGAAGAAGGATGCAGGAGTTTTTGATGAGGATACTGCCTGAGGGTATAACTGTGTAAAATGTAGCTCTGCTAGGGAGGTTAGGAACAAGTGTCTAGAGTTAGCTGGCTGGCTGATGGCTGGCTGTGTGTCTGTCTGATGTAGCACAGATAGGAAAAGGTAGATAGAGGTTTTCAGATAGAGAGGCTCATTGGAGGTGGTGGTGGTGGGTGGGTGGGTGTGTCTGTGTGTGTGTGTAAGAAGCAGGTCTGAAATGCTGAATTAAAGCCTGTGTTGGAAGATTAGGGAGAAGCTGCTACTGATACCTTTAATGCAGAGGCTCAGATGCAATGGTATGGAGGTTTGTGGGAAAACATGTTTCAGCTCCGTGTGTGCTGAAGTTTATCCCACTGCTTCCTAGTTGTCTTTACTCCATGAGTCTTCATCCCTGTCTCTAACCGTCTCCATCTAGAAGTTCTTGGTATATTTGTTCTCTTTCTACTTTGTAGGACTTTGTGCATAGACCATCAAATATTGGTAGAAATTTAAAACATACACTTGATACCAAGTTAAACTTCATTCTGTGTCAGTTCTGTTTAGGTTGTTAGATCAAATGTTGTAGTTTTCATTTTTTTATTTAATTTATTATTTTACATGTCGATCCCAGTTCCCCCTTCTTCCTTCCCTCCCTCCCTTTTACCCACTCTGCCCTCTCACATGCACTCTAACCACCCGCCCCTCCCATCTTCCCACCCCAATTCCATATGTAGGGGAATGCCATCCAGTTGGGGTCATGTAGATCTGACAGGTCCTGTGAAGTAGGGACTAGGGCTTCTCTCCTGTCTCTAGGTTAAGGCAGTTATCCCTCCATGGGGGATATGTTCACAAAGTCCTTTTGTGCACCAGGGATACTTCCTGGCTCCACTGTCTGAGGTAGTTTTCATTTTTAACTGTTTCTAAGCATTTGTTTTAAAATATCCATGTTAGGTTTGGTTTCAAGTACCTTAAGGTAATACTTTGGCAGCTGCTCATAAAGAACCCGTCTGAGACTGGGTGCCCAGAGATATGACTCAGGGTCACATAAAGAATGAATACTTCCAGATTCTTTCAATTTCAGTGTCCTCCGTGAGAGCACTGTTGTTTTTAGCTGTGCTCACCCTTAGGAAGCTGTCCTGCAAGGCTTCATGCATTATTTCAGTTTCTAGGTAGAAAACAACCTCTGGAATAGTAACCTAGGAAAGAGAAAGATACCCTTTTATGTTAAATACCAATTAACTTTTAAAAAGACTTCTTACACACATTTTTCTGGAGAACAGACATTTATGTAACTCTTTTGAGAGTATTAGTTTCTAGTGTACTGGCAACGTGTTAGGCTTGTAGAGTGGGGAATTCAGTCTTCTCTAGCCTGAATCAGTTATTCAGTAGCCTCATCATTAAAGATTATTGTATGCATAATTTTGTTGGAATTAGAGCAGCTAAATGCATAGTAATAAAATATATTCTTTGGTTTTGTTTTATCTTTCAGAATCATGGTGTCATGGAAGGGGCTTTATTTTATACTCTTCCTGTTTGCGGGAAGCTTTTTTGGAAGTATTTTTATGCTGGGTCCCATTATTCCTTTGATGTTTATAAACCTGTCATGGTATCGCTGGATCAGCAGCCGTCTTGTAGCTACGTGGCTCACACTTCCTGTGGTAAGTTACATATCAGAGAAGGGTCTGTCTGCTTGTAATGGATGGTCCATCTCTTGAACTTTTTTAGCATCAGAGTTTTGGTTTTCAGGGAAACAGAAGTCCTCAGTGTTTTATAGTAAGCATGTCTGACTTAAAAAAGAAGTGGGAAAATAGAAAAAATAGAAATACAAACATTCATGTCCTTAAAGCAAACCCTTATAAAGAACCTTTCAGAAAACTAAGATCTTTTTATATTCTTCATGAATTTTCTTTTATATTTTATATAATGGAATATATAATTTGTATTTAGAAAAATATGTAAACCTTAAAAGATTGAAGAATTTTTACATCATTAAATTTTATTCTGCATTTCCATTTTGTATTTTACAACGCAGTGACACATAATAAGATTCTGCGGGGAAGAGGAAAGAATATCAAATTAAATTGTATGAAAAACTTTTAAGTAAAAATGTCACCCCCTCATGAATAATAAACATCTTTTAAACATCTGACTGAGATGTGATGGATTCACTTCTTTCCAGTCATTACAAAAGTAAGGAACATAAAAAAATCAAGAAAATGTGATTTCTTTCTGAAGATGAGGTTAATAGCATAGCTAAGATCAAAATGCATACACAATGTTCAATAAAGTCTTGGAGTCTGTGGCACTTACAGTTGTTCTAAGCTCATCTGCTCACCTGGAGCTGCTGACTGTTAGTTTCTAGTCCAGGTTCCTTCTGTGGGACTGGGAAGAGGTTGCTGTGCATCAGTCAGCACCGTGCACTTGGATGGTCTCTTGGGTGCTGTTGCGCTCCTTCGTTCTCCTTAGTGACAGCTATTCCTCTTTTCTCCTCAGGTTGCTGAGTGTATCAGTCTGTTTAGAAGGGAGATAGATAATCTTCCCTAATTGGTAAAGGATCCTTTCTACCTCTTTCATTGAGCGGCTTCTTTCCCTCAGGCAGCAGGCGGAGTGCCTGCCTGGAGGATGGAAGTGTCATGTGCATTGGCTGTGGACCTTTCAGATGGAGGTTGACTCCATAGTTACAGAAATGGTGCTTGGGTAGGATAGATATTCAGCTGCTCTCTGAAGGGAACTCTGTGACCTCTATGACTGCCTCAGCCTTGCGTCTTTCATACCTGCAAAACTAGTCATGTGGACAGTGCTGTCATGTTCTTCTACCAGTTTGAACTATAACCTGGTCCCCTTGAAGCATAGCCATCAGCTTCCATGTGCTGACCTTGGGGAACACTTTCCCAGACAGTTGCTTTTAAGGCCTGGGGAACAACTTTAGCTATATTCCAGTTCACAATCTCTATTCAAGTAAGCTTTCATTTTCACAAGTTAGTGGGTAAAGTCCTTCTTCAGGGACATTTCCTGTTGTCCCAGCACAGAGCCAGGCTGTTCTTCTTGGTTGTGAAGTTTATAACTTTTTTGAGCTCTCTCTCAATCCCTTTCTCTGTCTCTGTCTGGTTGTTTTTGTTTTGTTTTGAGGCTGGCCTCAAACTCACAGAGACCCACCTGCCTCTCTTTACTCTGTGTTGGGATTAAAGGTGTGTGCCTCCACTGCCTGACTCGTTTTCTCTTTAATTATAAGCCTGGGTAAATGTAATAAGAAGTAGCCATGCCACAGAGTAAATGCTCTCTTGTCTTAAAATTTCCTCTGCCAAACAAATTAGTTCAGTATTTTTAAATTTACTTTCACTAAAGTTCTTGGGACACAGGCAAAGTGAACCAGATTCTTTGATATAATGATGAACAAAACAGGTAAGGATAGCCACCTTGTGGAGGTGACCACCCATTAACCTAAAGTATCCTCAATTGTAAGTTTACATACCTTGTCTTCTCTACTTTCCATTTGAATGAAAAACTGCTTTCATTTTTTATGGGCTAGACTGTTACTCTGTTAGATCACAAAAACAGAGATCTACTTACCTCCTCTGCCTCACAGGTACTGGTATTAAAGGCATGTGCTACCATGGCTAGGCCACAGAGCTTTTAACTTTTAAATAGAAAAAACATCAAAAAGTTAATAAACACAAACACACACATTAATGGATAATATGTGTGTGTATTGATGTATGTGCTAGTGTATGTGTGTATGCATGCACAAGAAGGTCAGAAGAGCTTGTCCTGCATTTGCTTCATCACTGTTCACTTATTCCTTTGAGGTAGGGTTTTATCCCTGAACCTGGGGCTCACAGGGGAGACAGCAACCCCCCTGTCTCCATGGTCCTTGGAGTAACTGTTATTGTCAAACAGGTCAAGAAATAGCATTGCCAGCTCTAGTGGACATTGTTACCCAGCCATCCAACTCAAATGTCTTCTGTTTTGGAAGTTGCCATGAATACAACTTCTTATTTACTGTATTACTGTATTTATTTACTTCTAAAATATCCCGCCTTTGTAGAAAGCCTTTTGTGTGGATATTTATCTACATGATCTTTCTTGCTTCCCTTCCACTGTTAGGTTTGTGCTTCATGCCATCATAGATGCTCATAGCTCCTTTGCTGCCAATGTTGAATGATTTAAAGATGCTTGAGAGGTTTGATTTTCTTAGCTTTGACCTCCCTATCAACCCGTTTTCAATTAGTTATGAAATAAAATAGGATGTTACATGTAATAGCTTGAAATTGAGACTGAGGTTGGGATTAGTAATCCACTCTGTAGTCTTGGTTTTTCCAGAGACTGTGGTAGAGGGAGCTTGAATGCAGATTGTGGACTGTATGAGGAAGGAAAATGAAAAGGAACGGGGAGGCATTAGCTCCCTTCTTAAGAACTCTGAATTGGAATACACACTCTCATTGGGGATATTTAGTTTTCATGATATCATCAGGCCTCAGAAATGTTGGTTTAACAAACTCAGCAAGCATTTGAGCATTCATATGTGCCAGATATTGGCTGTAGGTGGTAGGCTGAAAGATTTTAGTAGACATAGTTATTTTAGTCCTTATGTATTCTTTTTGAGTAACAAAAGATCATATACCAGAAAAATGAAAGTTTCTTCAGTCCCACATTATTCTTTCTAGAAGAACTATGTGGTAATCTTATCTGTATATATTTTAAAAGTACCCAGTAGAATCTTTTTGTGCATTTCTTTAATAATATTAATTGGAGATTTCAAATGTAGTTCATATTTTTCTATTATGAAACTTCCAGAAATTAAAATTAGTGGAAGAAGTGTATATAGTACTTCATTGTCTTATACTTGATCACCCCCCCTTTTATTACAGAAGCAAGAGTATAGGAAACTATGTTTTATATGTTAGAAATCATAGGAAATAATGTGATAAAATTTACAAATGGAAAAGTGCATTAACTTTTAAAAAATAATTAAATCATTATTTAGTTTGGACTCAGGTTTGCTTTTCCAAAGACAAATTTTTCATTTAGTTATTTATTTTTTGTGTGTCATCTTTCTTCATATTATAAAAGTAATATAGCATAGTCATGACAAGATTAGCAAGAATGAAAAAGATTCATAACTCTTATATAATTTTCATTTCTTTTTAATGTTGTAAATATCTAATACATTTATAAACATGGTTAAAAATAATCTTATATCTGGCTTCTTAACCTACAAATCCTAAGTTACTCTATATCTGCACTTTTGAATTTTTTGATAGGCATTGTTGGAGATCATGTTTGGTGTAAAAGTGGTTATAACGGGTGATGCGTTTGTACCTGGAGAAAGGAGTGTCATCATCATGAACCATCGAACCAGGGTAGACTGGATGTTCCTGTGGAATTGTCTAATGAGATACAGCTACCTCAGATTGGAGAAAATTTGCCTCAAATCCAGTCTCAAAAGTGTTCCTGGGTTTGGTATGTTCTTCATATGTTATTTTATGTGCTTAACTCATTCTGTATGTAATGTGCCTTCTGTAAGGCTAAAATGAGGTAAGTTGAACTGTATGTTATGCTCAGCTTTTCTCATGAAGCTAAAAATATTTTCAGTTTCTTTTTATCTGATCTTTATCTTAATCTCTGTTTTAAAAATAACTTAAGTCTAGAAAAGAAAATAAACTGTTATCAAGGAAATAGATCATTTCTTAGGACTACCACATTGAAGGATATGAGTTCAATAAATTGGTAACTTTCATCACAAATTAAAATGCCACAAATGTATTCTCAAGCAGCCAGGAGTCCCAAATTAAGCTTGAAGCTTGCCTGCTTCAAGACAATACCTAGGGTCTGGTGTTGATGGCTGGTGGCACACACCTTTAATGGCAGCACTTGGGAGGCAGGTAGATCTCTGTGAGTTCAAGGCCAACCTGGTCTACAGAGCTAGTGCCAGGACAGCCAGGGATACAAAGAAAAACCCAGGGAGGGGGGTGACAAATCCCATGGTGGTTTTCCCTTGATGCCAGGCCTGACCTCACAGTTCTCTTCATTCTTCACACTCCTTATAACATGTGCTATGTTAGGTTGAGTCTGATCATTTTGTTTGGTTTTCTTGTTTTTTTGAGACAGCCTCAGTCTTGCCTCAAACTCAAGTCCTCTCACCTCAGCATTGTAGGTGCTAGGATTACAGTGTGCTACCATGCTTGTTGAGGCTTTTGACAATGGACTTCTTTCTTGAAGGCAAAACCACACACATTCTACCTCTTTCTCTTTTTAAAGGAATTTATTAGTGTATTATAATGATATTTTTATACATGCACATATGTTTTTTTGATCATGTTTACCCCATTTTCTTATTTTTTTTTCTCATCCTTGCCACTTTCTGAGGGGTCACCTTGTACTTTTTCATGTCTTTTTCTATTTTGATGTGACTAGATATAAAACTTGTTTATAGGAACATAGGTGAGCGTTTACTCACAACAGTGTAGATAACTTCCCAGTGCTTATACCTCTGGAAAATGCCTGGTTCTCTAACAATTATTAGTGCCTCAAGAGTGGTAGAGGTCCCATGAGGCTTCCCCTCTCCATCACAGGCTCAATCTTATGCAGTTAATCATAGCTACTGTCAGGACAATAGTCATCCTGCTCCAGAAGGCAGTGGTCCACACTGCTCAGTCCCTTTTTGTTGCTCCTGTATTTTTTCTGCTGCTTCCATGGTGTTTCCAGAGCCTTGGAGGGATAATATAGATGTCCCATTTATGACTGGAAATTCAAGAGTCATTACCAATTATGAGTTCCTGCAGCCATCATAGCTCCCTGAGTAGAGCTGAGAGCTGCATAAATCTAGTTATTAGAAGAGAGTTTGAAGGTACATCATATCCATTCAGTAAAACAACAGCAGTAGCTTTCTCACTAGAGCCTATGGCCTCCCAGCCATGGGCTTTTGACTAGTTTACAGTGTGGGATGTGAATTCCTTCTTGTGAATTAGGCATCAGATCAAATCAGAGAAGCAGTTGGTTATCTCTGTAGATTTGCTACTATTGTACTAATTGGCACATCATGCCTGGCTAGTAGAGGATGTTGTGTGAGCGCATGCGAATGATGTACAAGCTGTGTAAGCCTGTTGATGACAATTCTCTCTTAGCTGTCTGTGTGGCGCCCTGCGTCATTATGAAGGCTAGCTAGCTGAGAGGTTGGATTAGCCTATTTCCAGATTGATTTCTCTGTGCCTTGTGATCATTGTATGTGGCATCTTTGGCAATAGGGTCTTACCCTCTGGTTCTGGAGAAGAACCATTTGGGTGACATTTGCCTATATTGTCTGGGGACTTCACAGGCCTCACTGACTGACCAAAAATCTCATAGGGAGATAATTCCTTGTACTGAGATTTTGTTTAATAATGTGTGGCACTGATTTATCTACAACCCACATGGTATTTTCATTTCAAACACTTAAAAAGAAATGTTTTAATTGGCTTATTGAGTACCAAAATTTCTTCTTCTTTTTTCCCCATACATCATTAGTATTGGTTGACCCTTCCTTCCCATCTCCTCTTCCTTGTTCTTCCTGCCTCCTACCCACTTAAATCTTTTTATCTCTTACTGTTTCTATCCCTACTTTCATTATCACATGTGTTCTGCTGCACAACTATTTCTCTTAAAGACTCTTTAGTTTCTTGGCTTCCACACATGCTTATTTCTTCATAAATGCACATATACATAAAATAATAGCCACCAAGTTTGCATATGAGAACATACGGTGTTTGTCTTTGACCCTGAGTTACTTCACTTAATGTAGCTCAATCCATTTTCATGCTATTTCGTAATTTCATTTTTCTTTATGGCTGAATAGAATTCTATTGTGTATATGACCACAGTTTGTCCACCCATTCATCAGTTGATGGATATCTGCGTTGGTTCCATCTCCTTGCTCTTGTGAAACAAACAGCAGGCAGTGAACATGGATGTGCAAGGCTCTCTGGGATATGGAGTCCTGTAGATAAGTGCCTAGGTCTTTAGAATCCCTGTTCTTAGGTTTTTTTTTTTTTTAGAAACCTCCACACTGATTTATATAGTGACTAACCCAGATTACATTCCCACAAATGATGACTGAGGCTCTCCCTTTCTCTAGTCCTCACCAGCATCTTGTCTTCTTGATAACAACCCTTCTAGCTGGAGTGAGATGGACTCTCAAAGAAATTTTAATTTTCATTGATTTGATGGGTATAGATAACAAACACATTTTCAAACATTTACATTGCTGTTTTTAAGAACTTTGTGTTCAACTTCTTATCTCATTTAAAAAAATTGAATTATCGGCTTCCTTGTTTTGATACTAAGGCCCTTTGTGTGTTTTATACATTCTCTCCATAAGATGAAGAGCTCATGGGGATTTCTTCATTCACTCAGCTGTGTTGCTTGTGGTACAGAACTTTTTCATCCACCATCACTTTCCTGTTTGTTGATTGTCACTCTTATTTTGTGAGGTGCTGTAGTCCTATTGAGGGAGTGGTTACCTATGCCTGTATCTTGAAGTGTTTTTCTCTACTTTTTCTTTAATAGTTTCAGAGTGCTGGCTCTTAAGTTGAGGTCTTTCCATCTGAAGTTGATGTTTGCACAGGTGGAAGCTAAAGATCTTGGTTCATTCTTCTACTTGTAGATGCACAGTTTGCCCAGCAGCATTTGTTGAAGAGGCTGTCTTTTTTCCAATGTGTATTTGGGTGTATTTCTCAAAGATTAAGTGGCTATAGCTGTGTGTGATTGTCTGTGGTCCTCTCTTTTGCCCCACTGACACACGTCTGTCTTTGTGCCAATGCCATGCTGATTTTATTACTATAGCTTGGTAGTATATCTTAAAGTCAGAGGATCCCTTCTGTGTCATTCTTTTGCTTAGGATTGCTTTGGGTATCTGGAGTGTTATGGTTCTATATAAATTTAAAGACCCATCTCCTTATTCCTAGAAAAAGAGTGCTGGAATTTAGATGGAGAGTGCCTTTAATATGTAGATTGCTTTTGGCAATAATTAATACTGTTTTATAATATTAAGTCTTCTGATCCATGAGCATGGGGAGGCTTTTCAATCTGCTAGTGTCTTCTTCGGTTTTTCTTCTGTGTCTTCTTCGGTTTTTCTTCTGCGTTTTATACTTTACATTTAGAGATCTGTTTCCCCCCCCACACACACACTTTTTTAGTTAGCTTTTGTGTTGTTTGCTGCAGCTCTAGGTGATGAAACACGAGCCACAAAAATCAACAAAACTGACATGGAATTTTTAGGGAAAGGGAGTGAAGGAAGGGATTGGTGTCAGCCCACCAGAGCAGAAATTGAAAGGGATAGAACAGGTGGGAGGCGCTTGCTTAACAGGTGGGGAAGCTTTGCACATGCTTACAGAATCCTTACCTAGCCACATAACATGCAACGCAGGTCCCTTTGAGCTGTCTAAGTATCTGCCTGAATGCTGGTGTGAGTACCCTGCCAGTTGTTGGGGGATAGGGGAGTAGGCAGGGGGGTGGGGTCAGCATAATGCCAGGATATCAACATTTAGTCCAAGGTTTCTTAATTTTTTTTATTTTGAATTGGATTTCTTTCTTAGTATGTTTTTCATTGGTACATAAGTAAACTACTGATTTTTATATGTTAATCATTTCCTGTCATTACCAAGAGTGTTTATCATATCATTTTCTGTCATTACCAAGAATGTCTATCAGCTCTATTTTCAGGTGGAATATTCAGGGGCTTTTCCATTCAGAATTCATATCTTGTAAATAGGGATGCCTCAGCTTTCTTAGTTGGGAGAATGTTTTTTAATGTCAGTCTTATATTTGTTGTAGATATGTATAGAACAGAAGCAGGAAAAAAACCCTAATACTATAAAGTGAATCAAATATTATGATGCAAGTGTTTGAATAAAACTCTTTGAAAGAGAAATATAAATAATGATAAGTGACAGGAAAATAAAAAAAAAATGTGAGAATCCATTGAATTAAAGAAGACCATAGAATTAAAGAAAACCATAGAGGAAAAAGAAAATCATACCAGGAAACATAGTAACAAGACTTGTCCTAGTACTTTACAAGGGAGGCAAAGAGAACCAAAATTAGGAAGCAGTGGCCCCAGGGGCTGAGACTGAGTAGAAGGCTGCTAAAGGTGTTCAGAATGCACAAAATTAAAACAAAAAACTGTGTATAAAGTCACTTCAGGCTGAGTGTAAGACTTATATGAAAGTCAAGTGAATTTTGTATTTAGATTTGGGTTGTATATTTGTATGAAAATACTTTTTAAAAATAAACAAAAATAAAGCATGGTGCTTCTGGGTAGGATCGTCTTCATTTTGAGTTGTTCATGTTTCTACATTAGATGTTGTTCAAGCATCTGGAGAATACACACCACAGAGGTGGTGCCAGCCTCCTGTCACAGAGATTACTGATGGCAAGTGCTCTGTCATTGGTGATATGTATCTTAATCACTTGAGTGATGTAGTGCG